TAAGGATGAATTTGACAGAGACAATGTTTCAAAATTAGGAAGGGAAGCAGTGATTATTTGATTATATAGACGCTTCGCCCCTGCAAATAATTACATAATTTGTTTTACTCTCACTGTTAATTTTACTTCAAAATCGACTTGCTTTTCGGCTAAAAAAGAAATCCAACTCAAAACTCAAAACCACAAACATTTCCAATAATACCCAAAATAAAGTAGACCCTTAAGCTCAGACAAGAGTTTTTAATGCGATTTTGTAACAGCACCATGATTATAATCACTTGGCCTGTTTGCAGCAATAACACATACATGAAGGAGTATTAAAATTCAGTGGTTGCATGTTTTAAAAAAGTCAAAACACAGAAGACTACTTTCGATTTTCCCTTTCCGCGTCAATTTTCCCGCCTATATACCCGATCTCCACTTTCCCACATCTCCAAAAATATTATTTTGCTGATAACACCTTCTTTTTACACTAAACCCACGACAAAGTCATAAATAAATGTGTGGAAGTTATCACGGATGTTCGAAGAGGTGTCAGCTTTACTTATCTGGCTTTCCACTTAGACTTTTTTACAAAGAGTTTTCTCTCACCCGTTTTCCAGATTTCGTCAAATTTCACGCACAGCCTACGCCCCCAACCGTTGATTAAAAACTGGAAATCCATTGCCACGAAACGAAACAGGAACGAAAAGAAACAAGGAAATAGCATTGGGTGAAAAAATATGTTGTTTGTACACATTAGGGTTGTTGTCGTTTTTTGTATATTTCATCTCGTTATTGTTACTTCGCTATGTCGTTTCAACATCGGTGTCGTTTCGGTTACAGTGTCGTTTCGTGAGTATAGATTTCCTGTCCTCGAAGCGTGAAGAGAACAGTAATACTCACATCATGGCTATGCAGTGCACTCATCCACCGGAGTAGCTGAAAGGGCCCCAGCAACTTGACAGCTTGCTCCTGTGAACAGGCGAGAAATAATGCACATATTGACTACTTGACACTACACTGCTCAGGACCGTGGGCATTGACCTAATGACGATCACTATCACATTTTTTAAATACATGTAGTTGCTCACCACCTCAACCACTTTCTTTTTCACAGTTTGAAAGTTTGAAGTGTCAAGGATCTTTATTTCAATTTGTGTTTAAGGCACCAATCAAAGAGCAAACTTCTTTTGATCATTATTTCAATTTTTTAAAAATTATCGTGCATTCCTAAAACCAGAAACCCGTTTAAGATGGTAATTAGGTACGTCCTTGGTCAAGCTGGTTATCCGTTTGCCTTCATTACAAGTAACAACAATTCAAGACATTTTAGGTGCGATTAGCAGATTATGGCTTGAGTGGACATTCTATCGCAGTCATGCTTAAAAAATCAGCAACGATTAAAAATGTATTTCTTTTAAAAACAAGAAAACGTCACCGTTTCGTTCAGATGGACATGAACATGAAGCCCAAACCCCCTAGTCAGTTTGTCAAGACCAATATCAAGATGAGAAAAGAGAGAGAGGAGAGAGAGGGGAAAATAGATAGATAGATAGATAGATAGATAGATAGATAGATAGATAGATAGATAGATA